TTCCCAAAAGAAAAAAAAGCACAAGTGCACAAGGAGTTGTAAATCACCCCTTCTCCATCCCAAATGCTGGCAGTGTAATATCGATGTAGGTATTATCAAATTACCCTGAAAGATACACAAATCCTCATGGGCTCTGTCTTACGACTCAGTGATAGGAATAGATGGACTAAGACCCAATCTCTCTCCCAGGTAATAAAGGAACCGTTTAAAAAACGTGAAGCTTGGGGGCGCCTGGGTGGCTCAGTTGGTTGAGCATCTGACTTCGACCCAGGTCATGATCTCGCAGTCTGTGAGTTCGAGACCTGCGTCAGGCTCTGTGCTGACCGCTCAGAGCCTGGAGCCTGCTTCGGATTCTGTGTCTCTCTCTCTTTCTGCCCCTCCCCTGCTCATGCTCTGTCTCTCTCTCCGTCAAAAATAAATAAACATTAAAAAAAAAAAAATTTTTTTTTAAGGTAAAGCTTGAACTGTTCAAATTCTCCAATTTTAAAGGGATCAAAAGCTACTAATTAAGCCTAAGTATCCAAAAGGAAGAATATTCTAATTGATGAGCAAGAATGTTCCCATTTAAGCTCATCCAACGTGACTGGGAATACCTGGAAAACCAATTCCTTCCCTTCAATGAATTTTGAGAGAAGGAGAAATAAAGATTTTTTTAATGTTTATTTCTGAGAGAGAGAGAGAGAGAGAGAGAGAGAGAGAGAGAGAGAGAAAGAGAGAATATGAGTGGGGGAGGGGCAGAAGGAGAGGAAGACACAAGAGTAGGCTCCAGCACAGAGCCTGACACAGGTTCGAACCCACGAACCGCAAGACCATGACCTGAGCCGAAGTCGGACGCTTAACCAACTGAGCCACCCAGGCGTCCTGAAATAAAGATTTTTTAAGAAAATCTAAGTCATACCTATAATATTTGATTCAGTGATCACTTATTAAGGTTTACAAAGCTTCTAATTCACTTTTTAGCAACAAAATTGGACTACAAGGAGAGATTCCCAATAAACTGTTTTCACATTGGTTGACACTTTGGTTCCAAAGGAGGATACGCCCAGCTTGGCATTCTGCAACTGGTTCTTGAGGGAGGAGATAACAGGGTGCCTTTCTATAGTAGTTCCAAAACTTCAAGTTCTCACAGTCTAGTAAAAAACTAAAAAAACAAGGAATAGAATGGAGGATGTTGATACAGAGCTGCCCACTTAAAGAGAGGCATTTGCCAAGTATGGAGAGAGAAAAAAATACACACACACACACACACACACACACACACACAATTATCCATTACTATCATAATTTTCTAACAGAAAGAATATTTTAATGCCAGAATGTAAAAATGACATAATCTCTAAAAAAAGATTATATCTGCTTGCCCATCACCCCATCATAAGAAATGGCCAGATTTTCACATGGAATGTATGGTTCTGATAAATAGTAGTGTTGGCTACCCGGACAGAAGTAGACTGCATTTCCCAAGTGCCCTCACTGCTAGCTGTGGTCATGTAATAGGTGTGGCACCACAGCCAATGGAATGTGAGTAGAAGTGACCTACACCACTTCCAGCCTGGTCCCTAAACTTGCCACATACCCTCTTCCGTGTCCTTAATCTTCCATGGCTGGACTGTGATGCCCAAGGCAACCTTTAAAGCCAAGTATTGTCAAAGGGGGAACAATGTTCTGCCTGGAACATTCAATAACTATGGCAGTAGAGTACTCACCCCATCTCTTCAACCTCAAACCACTTTAGCTCATCAGGTAAGAGAGAAAGAAATCTCTAATGTGTTTATACCATTAGAGATTTGGAGATTATTGCAGTACTTAGCTTGCGTATGATTTAAAATATGAGCTATGAATCAACAATTAAAAACTAATTTTTAACGTTTATTTTATTTTTTGGGATAGACAGAGACAGAGCATGAACGGGGGAGGGGCAGAGAGAGAGGGAGACACAGAATGGGAAACAGGCTCCAGGCTCTGAGCCATCAGCCCAGAACCTGACGCGGGGCTCGAACTCACGGACCGCGAGATCGTGACCTGGCTGAAGTCGGACGCTTAACCGACTGCGCCACCCAGGCGCCCAATTAAAAACTAATTTTTAAAGGACAAAAGATTTGAACAGGTATGTCAAAAGAACACATATCAATGGTCACTAAGCACATGAAAAGACAGCTATCTTTCGTCATCAGAACAATGCAAATTACAACCACAGAGACATCATTTCCTACCCCCAACGATGGCTGAAATTAAAAAGCTGGTAACGCCAATGCTGGCAGGATGTAGAGCAACTGGAACTCTCACACACTGCTGATGGAAGTGTAAAATGGTACAAACACTTCGGAAAAAAAGGCTTAGCAGTTTCTCACAAAATATTCACTTACCCCATCACCCAGCAGTTCTACTGCTAGGTATTTCCTAAGAGAAATGAAAGCATATGTGCACAAAAATACTTGTATGAGACTTCTCAAGGTAGCTTTACTTATAACATCCCAACACTGGAAATAGCTCACATGTCCAGCAACGGGATAAACAAATGGTGATGTGTATTCACCTAGTGGAATACTACTCAGTAATAAAAACAGCAAACTACTGATACATGTAACAACATGAATGACTCTTAAAACATTTTTTTTCTTTTTTTAAATCTTAAAACATTTTTGCTGTACGAAAGAAGTGTTAACACAAAAAAGTACATAAGCCAATGGTTAAAAAAAAAAAAGTCAAAACAGTGGTTGCGTGGGGCAAGATTGCAGGGGATGCAACAAATCACTAGGAAAGCAGCATGAAGGAACTTTCCAGGGTGACAATAACTTTCTATATGTCTTGATGAGGGAAAAGGATTCACAGGTGTATATGTTTATCGAAATACATTGGAATGGTACACTTAATATTTGTACACTTCACTATAGGTATTACCTTAAACACACAATCAAACATGGAACTCTGTTCATTTGCAGGCTTAGTGTTTAGGGGTAAAGTCTACTGATGTCTAAAATCTAACCTGAAATGTATCCCCAAAAAGGGGAAGGTTAATGGATGAACAAAGAGATGGACAGATAGAATAACACAATAAAAGATACGTAGCAAAATGTGGTGAATACATAAGCATACACTGCACAATTCTTTCAACTGCTCTGTTTGAAATTTTCCACAAAAAGCACTGGAAAGTTGTAAAGGCTCCCTATGCGAAATTCCTTTTGGAGGATCAGGAGAGGGGATCACCTCAAAGAAATAAGTAGTTTTCACTCAGAGCAGCTAAGAGTGAAGGGCAACAAGACATCGAAGTGACTGCCAATCAGGACCACATACACAGCGCATGGACATACCACAGGCAGAGGAGACAGCACTATTTCGACTATGAGTCCTCCGATCATAGATGTGCTTTTGTGAACCAGATGTTTCACACATAGGCAACCATGTAGAGAAAATCACCAGTAGGGTCTTAATGACTTAACAACAGTTACTGATTCTCCAAATGAAGAGGTAAGCTAGTCTCAGAAAAAAGGGGGGTGGGGGGTCCTTTAAAAATGAATAAATTGTGCCTTATGAAAAACTCACTACATAGTCCATATTTTTCTCAATTCACAGAGTATCATGAAAACTTCAGCGTGAACCAGGATTTAGTGACCACTGGATATGGAGGGAATCCTGGCCCCACCAGCTATGTTCTCAACTTGACTCTGCCACTAGCTGCCTGTCCTTAATTAGGCTCTAAGTCCCTCTGGTTCACTTCAGGAACTCATAAAAAACTGAACTACCCTCCTGGCATATAATAAAGGACAAAATGAGAAGAGAGATGTTCCAGGCCCTTAGAGGAGAATGACAGACAGCCTTCTCAAGAGCAGGGAACAATAAAGCAACCCATGGACACTTAGCATTAATACCCCAGTTCATGAATACTAACCTATTTTTGAGAAAGAGCATTAAGATGAGAAAAAAGCATGGCTCTCCTCCTCTGCCATTAACCAATTGCCATGAAAACTAGGCAAGTCCCTCAGACTCTGTGGGCCAATATGACAAGACTCGGATCAGATGCACTCTCAACTGATCCAACCTGCTCAAAGATGCTCTTTAAGACTGCGCCTGTGGATACAGGCCAGGAATGCCTCACCCACCACCACTGAGCTGAAAGCCTTCTCATCGTTACAGCTCTCGTTCAGATGTCACGTGCTTTGGGAAATTTTCCAGCCAAGTCCGGTCATTCCCTTTACACTTTACAGATAACCTATATTAGAACCCTCACCATGCTCCCTGTATGTTAATCATTTGTTTATCTGTGTTGTCTCCCTGACTAGACTTTGAGCTTCTCCATGCTACAGTTCTTGCCTCACTGGCATTTGTACACCTTGTCTCGGCTCAGTGATTACACAGGCTCTCAAAGAATACGTCTGAATAAACGCCATTAATCCCTACTGTCGCTTCTAGCTCTACAAAGTTAGGCATGGTGTTTTTTAAATGCAAATGGAATAATGGATGTTAGGAGTGTTTAGTCGTTCAATGCAGTGCGTACTGAGTATCTGGTATCGTGAGCAGTGTTGGGGACGAGATGATAAAACACGATCCCTGCCCCCACGTCAAATATGGAAGCTTGTAGTTATTGCCAGATCAAGGTCAAGGCTGGAGCCCCGTTCCCACTCCCCCCCCCCACCCCCGCACCCACTTCCTTTCTTGCTCGGCTCTCTGCCTCTTTCCCCATGAGCCTTCATTCCTCCCTCAAGCTGCGACCTCTGTCCCAGCTGGCAGAATTGCAAAAATCGGAGCCAATCACTCACGCCCTGCGGCCGACGACAAATCCTGCAGGCGGGTCCCCAGCCCCAGAAACCTCTCCCCTTCTCCCCACGAATGGAACAGTCCTTCGAAACAGGAAAGCAGCGCCCAAGCAGCGCCCACCCCGGCCCGTGATCAGTGGTACTGCCCCTCTCCACACCGCAGCGCAGGAGAAGCCGGGCCGTTACTTGCCCACGCCCAGCTCTCTGCGCAAACCTTCAGGCCGGCTCGAGGGATGCAGGGTATACCTGCGAGGCCCGCTGCTCCTTCCAGAGCTTCATCTGGTCGCTGGCTGGATCCCGGCTGTCCGCCATGGTGTCCGACTGGCTTCGCAGAACGTTGCTGGCAGCCTCGGCGACGCGTCTCCACCCTCCGCTGGAAAGCCAGTCTACCGACGAGCGACTGAAGTAGGCGACCGCAGGCTCCGCCACTCAGCTCCGCCCCTCGCCCCGTCCCCCGAGGGAGGGCCGCCTCCTGATTGGCCGCTCGAGCGCCAGGCAGGATGGGATTGGAAGCCAAATATGGGCGGGAGAAGAGGGGCCAGGCGCTGGGCCTCCGGGAGGGAGACGCAACCCGGGGGCTGGGAAAGGCAGGAGAGGTGTGTGAAAAGCGGGGGAGCCCCGCCCTTCCGCCCCCCAAACGGCGGGATTTGTGAACCCGGGGCTGGGTCCCGTTTTGGGGGCCCTCAATCTTGCCCCCGGGTTATCAGCATCCTTCAGGCTGCCACGCGAAGCGACGGTTGGTGGCCTGCCTGTTTTGCTGAGGAAACGCTTAGGCGCCGCGGGGTGGGGCTTTGAGGCGTAAACACGGTCTCAGCTCATTTTAATAAGTCAGAAATCCTGGGATGAAGTCCAGTAATCTTCTCAAAGTCACGTTAGTTTTCCTGGATCACAGACTATTTCCACGGAAAAAAGTGAAACATTGACAAGTTCTTAAGGGTCTTCATGGTCTAAAATCCTTAGGAAGGAAGTTCAGCCTTTTAGGTTCCCTTTCGGCTTAGAAATTCCCCGTTTTGGACTATCTGCTGTGTGCCAGATGCTGCTAGATGTTTGCCAGACTATATCGTTTAATTTTTCAATCTCGCGATGAAAGTTTTATTATCCCCCGCTTGAAATATGACGAATCTGAGGTTAAGAGAGGTGGAGGAACTTAACTAATGGAGCTTAAAAGCCAGCAAAATGTCAGAACCTAGATCCTTGGGGGCCTGGGTCCTGAACCACTATGCTATCCTGCCTTTCTAAGAATAAGAATTTTGAAAAACTCTAAGAATTTTAGAATTCTATGTCTTTAAAGAGCCATATTGGAAAATTAAATCTTGAGTTATTGACTAATTTGTCAGTGTTATCAAATGGATTGAATGATTTTCCCCCTTCAGGTGCTACGATTTCTCTTTAAATATTACCTTGATGCATACGATCTTCAAATTCAGGGTGCTCAACTTTTACATTTGATATTTTTCAATAAAGCTACATATAATGGGTAGATATAGGATAGTGGAACTTTCAGGTGTTCTTGATTTTACAAAAGTGTGATATCAAGAATCTCAGGCCTACAAGTTTAACTTTTGCAGTTCATTGAAAGAGCAGCTCCCAAAACTGATCTTCAGTGCCCTGTTATTTTTCCTTCATTACACCTAACACAACTGCAAAGATGCTATTAGCTGTGTGATTTGTGTGGTGTCTTTTGCTACCCACTTCATTCCTACTGCCACCAGAGTATAAACTCCATGAGGGCAGGGGCCACATCTTGCTCTGTGTTGTATTCTGCACACCTAGAATTTATTGAGTACTTACTCCATGCCAAGGAGTCTTCTAAGATTTTTGTGTGCACCTGCTTACTTCACCCTCCCAACAACCCTATGACTTAGGTGCTAATATTATCCTCATTTTACAGTTTAGGAGACTGAGGCATGGAGAGGTTAAATAAGTAACTTGTCCAAGATTACACAACTATTAAAGGATAGAGCCAGGATTCCAGCCCCGTTCATCTCCTGGGCTCATGGCTTGTTGAATAAATAAATGTTGAAAAGATCAAACTAATCATTTTCTGTGTTGACTAAGATAAATTTCAACCAAGTAAATGAAAAGAGGCCTGGAGTCATGTGTTAACCCTTGATCTCTACATGAACATTGTCCTGTTTATTTTTTTTTCTCTGTGTTTCCTTTAGTGTTGGTTTGGATTCCTAACGAATTTCCAGTGAAAGAGAAATGGAGAGACAAGACACTTTCAGATCATGTCAAATCTTGTACATTAAAATAAGGTATGTGCTTACAAGTAATGGCCATGAATTTATATTAGCCACACTGGTAGCATTACATTCATTGGCTTTACAACTATAACCTAATTATAGTTTAAGTGAAAACACTCCTAAAAACCAGCCCTAGTTTAAAAATACATTAAACTGAATCTATCTGACTCCTAGGTAATCCCAAATGATTGGTTCAGTAAACAAATTTGGCCCCAGATTTTTATATTTTATTAATACAAACACGTGAATATTTTCATTGGTATTGAATACAATTGTTATTAGAAAATACTGTTAATTGTACTGAAAATTGTATTAGAAAATACTGTTCTCTGATTATTCAGAACCCAGTGAAATCAAATATACTGGCACAAAACATAATGTTATTGTTCCTGATATCACCAAATCTAAAACCAAACTTACAAAGTAGGCCATACAGTAAATGTTGAAGACAAAAGTCTGGGCACTCAACTGGAACCTTTATTGACAAATTTTCTTTCATCGGTATTTGAAATAGTGGAGGAACTGTGTCTTGTTGGATGACAGGTATGTAATATAGCACAGCATGAAAAGTAATGGAAACTGAGATAATTATTTCTATTCTAATTCCACCCACCCTCTGAGGGACTGAGAATGTTCCACATATCTTGATTTCATTCTTTTCGCAATAGCCTTGTGGAGTAACCTGGGGATAGAGATAGGGGTAGAAAAAAGGAAGAGTGTAAAAGACAAGAGATGTGTCACAACCCAGAATGCCCTGGGAGGGAAGGACAGTGAACACTACCACAGAATGGTATGTGTATGTTTTCAACCCACTGTGGACTAGTCCTGAGCAGACAGGAGAGGGAAAGCCAATTTGCAGAAAGTGACAATGGTTCTATATGGGTTTATACGTGTAAAACAGGCACATACCTTCTACTTTGCCTATTTTGCTTTTCCACGCATTACTTCTGCTCTAATAAGAACAATTACTTGGGGCCCCTGGGTGGCTCAGTCGGTTAAGTGTCCAACTTCAGCTCAGGTCATGATCTCACAGTTCATGCGTTTGAGCCCCACATCAGGCTCTGTGCTGACAGCTCAGAGCCTGGAGCCTGCTTCAGATTCTCTCTCTCTCTCTCTCTCTCTCTGTCCCTCCCCTGCTCACACTCTGTCTCTCTCTCTCAAAAATAAACATTTAGGGGCGCCTGGGTGGCGCAGTCGGTTAAGCGTCCGACTTCAGCCAGGTCACGATCTCGCGGTCCGTGAGTTCGAGCCCCGCGTCGGGCTCTGGGCTGATGGCTCAGAGCCTGGAGCCTGTTTCCGATTCTGTGTCTCCCTCTCTCTCTGCTCCTCCCCCGTTCATGCTCTGTCTCTCTCTGTCCCAAAAATAAATAAACGTTGAAAAAAAAATTAAAAAAAAAATAAATAAACATTTAAATAAATAAATAAATAAATAAATAAATAAATAAATAAAACAATTACTTAAGCGGAAGTAGCCCAGACCTCCTTTGAGGTCTGTTAATGGCCATAGTTGGAACATCCTGAGAGAAAAAAGCCATGTGCTTTTTCTCTTCCAGGCTACATGTTCCATGTTATTTATCTGGGTGTTTGAAAAAAGGAAACAGAAATAAGAATTTGGATTTTGTTATTACCCTAACTTTTTTTCCTGATTTTAAAAGTAATGTATACCTCCTAACGAGGGCTTGGAAATACAAAATAGTATATAAAATAAACAATTATCCACAGGTGGTAATAAATAGATATCTTTCCCACCAATACGTTCTCTTGTGTATGCAATGTGTGTGTGTGTGTGTGTTTGTGTTTGTGAGAGAGAGAGATTAATAACGGATCATACAGAATGTGTAATTTGTTGTGTGCTGCTTTTTTTTCCAACTATTAAATCTGCTTAGTAAAGATAGTTTTGCTCATACAAACAACAACAGTTGACAGCAGTCTGAGCGCTGGACACACCATCAGAGACGGGGAGGCACTGCAGGCACTCTGGAGCCCTTCCCCCACGCCCAGAGAAGAGTCTGGGTGCTTTTCCACCACCTTGCCCCTGAGGGAGATGAAAGCTGAAGGATTACTGCCACCCCCTGCCCCCAAAAGACCATGGCACGAAGGACTTCTCCTTACGTGGTCCGCTAATACTGGAGGAGGGTCTCCCTGCCCTCCCTGCCCTCTCCTCACTGGCCTGGACACAGGAAGTGAAGTTGTTCGGGAAGGGGGTGAAGAGGCTGATGGGGAAGGACCAGAGTCGGGACATCCTACCCACCCAACAGACCACAGTGGAAATTTGCAGGACCGCAAAAGTAGTGCTGCCTTTGCCCACAAGCTGATTTTTTTTTTTTTTAACTTTCAAAACACTTGATTTGGCCCAAATTTCATGTGATACAAAAGCATTACATGCTTAAACCTGTCACCCAGATAGAAGGCTCTTTCCATTCTTCAGGCCAACTTTCCTCACAGGCAAATAAATAAGAAACAAAGTATATTCTGTAGATCGTATATAGAAAATTTTCCTTTACAAGAACAAAAATATTTAGACGTTATATTTAGTGTAGCTTAGCGTTCCAGTTTATGGTGATAACTTCAGTTAATTGTTTGGAGGTACATGACATATGCAGAAGAACTCAATAGACAGCAGATAGGTTAACTCTTGATTAAGGACAAAATATCTGACAGGTTTCTTTTCTTGTATTTTTTTTTTTTAAAGATACTACATTTGTAAATTCAAGTTTGGTTGGCCCTTTTTAATCTTTTTGCTCAACATTTTGAATGCTTCCATTTTTTTTTCATTTTGTAGAGCCTTTGAACTTTGTCTCTCTCGTTTTCTACGCTCAAATTCTTGTTTCTTAGCAGCACACTTAGCTTGTACTCATTCATGTTTTTCTTCTGCTTTTCCATTTGATGCTTTCTTTTTCTTTCTTTTTTTTTTTTTTTAGAATAGTAATGAGGTTTACTCTTTTCCTATGCTGTTCTGGCTGAGCTGGTCACCTCCGCAATGTTCTTCAGACAAAGCCTGGTCAGTGCTAGATAGTTCTGGCAATGGCTGATCAACTTGTTCTTCTGACAAAAGCTGATTAGCTTTTCTAAATTGCTTCCTGAGCTTTCCTCTTCATCTCACTGGAGATGTTTCAGATTATCAAGGCATCCATCTGTGAATTGGGATTCCTATGAGGTTTGAACCTTCTTTTCCTACCGTAGCAATTTCTTGTAATTTTGCGGAATCTCCAGTTTTCTTGAAATGCAAAGCCTGTCCATCAGGAATGCTCCCTGCAAAAGAAAGCAAATGGTTAGGTCACCACATCCTTTGTTTAAATTTCTTATTCCTGATGGAAAACTCTTTTGCCACACATCCCCAAACTCCCTGTCCACCACCTTGCTGCCACCTCTCTGGCACCGTGGCACATCAACCATGTCCAAAGTCCTGCTTCTTTTACTTAATATTATGGAATGAAATTGTTCCTGAGTCTTTAAATATTCTTCCAAAGTGTGTTTTTTTTCCCTCATGCCTGCACAGTGTGCAATCAAAGGACTGATCCCTTATTTACACATTCCCTTACTGGAAACATTTAATTTTTTCCTACTATAAATAACAGTATAGTGAGCATCCTTCCTCTATTTGTATTTGTACTTACTTCCTTAGGACCCACTTCTAGAAGTAATTTTTGGTTCAAATCATATGCATATTTGAAGTCCCTTGTGACATACTGTCAGTTTTTTCTGCAAAATTTGAAATAGTTGACATTCACCAGCACTGAGAGTAAGGACTGGAAATAAAATTTTAAAGATGGATAAGTTGTTAGATTCTAGGTACCTATACATTGCATATTTTATTAGATTGTTCAGAAAGGACAACACCTCTCGCATTATATTCAGCCATTTCCACCTACCCCCATGAGATTCATTCCATCTGGTGAGTGGCTACAATGTCCTATGCACTCTGTGTGCTTGACTTTGGGAACATAGTAGTGAAGAGATGGGGATAGGCAAAAACAAGCAAAAAGCCAGGAAATAACATGATGTAAAGAGTGCTCTGAGGAAGAAAGTACAGCTGCTGCAGTGGTATCAGAGAAGGTCACCTAACCTGAACTTGAGAGGTCGTGAGAGGCTTCCTCAAGAAATAAAGGCCAAATGAACCTTGAAGGATGAACAGGTGTTAGGTATAGTGCCAAGAATAAGCATTATCTTAGCCCCACTGTGACCACAGAAAGCCGAAGAGATTTCTTCCATTCTTTCTCGAAAGTCTGACATCATCACTGATGGTATTGTGATACCTTGAATAGTATAGGGAGAGCAAGCAAACATTTGCGGCTGGAGTTCAGCCTTTTCGAAGTTTGCCCAAGCACGCTGGCCTCTGTATCTGACTCAGACTGGCTTTGACTTCTGCTGCTCACCCACTTTTCCTCCTCATCTGGGATCCTGCATGGCCTGTGCAAATCTGTCATGTTAACTACTGGGATTGCTATGCCTGGCTTGAGTTGTTTTCCAGGGCTGCTGTCTTTGAGATATTTTGACTGCCCCCTTTGTATGTGCTGTTAAGTGTTGTATTTGTGCTTGACTCCGGGCTTAAGTCTGTATGCAGAAACCAGACATGGGTTCTTAAAGTCCGACAATTCAAAAAAAATGACACATCCTCATAGATAAATCAATGCGTTCAATATAGCTTGAGACCACACACTTACGTATCTATGGAGAAGTGAATAGTTATAAATTATACATGCTGAGTGGAACTACTGGTTGTAGCTGGGGCTGTAGACCAAGAGGAGGGTCTCTCTCTTATCTTCTTTCCCAAAACCCAGATCATAGACCAGCAGGGCTTCAAGGGGCAAAACAACATGATGCACAGTTAAAGGTCTCAACTCTAGCATCAGAGCAGTGGGATTTGAATCCCACTATGGCTTCTTACAAACTGTGTGAACTCCACCAAGTCTTTGAAGCCTCTAGATATTAATAAGATATTAGACAATTAGCTATCAATACCTTCTGTAGTATGTATAGTCTAAGCAGCCATAATGAAAAGAACCTCCCCAAATACCATGGCTTCAACA